TAAATTTAATATATTTAAAATAAAAATTTTAAAAAATGTTATATTAGCTAAGGATGAGAAACATGACAAAAGCTGTAGAATATCTTCTTGAAATACACTTGAGGCACTCAAGTGTATTGCCTGGTGTTTGTCAGCCCATCTCAACTCTTCAAAATCTAGTCTAGAGTTTAGAATTTGTCACTAGACATATATGTTTAATTCCATGAATATTAGATACCATTAAGATCATTAGTGTGGTTGCTGAACATATAATACGTGTGACTTCACCTAAAAACAGGCTTTCTCAGGTTGTCTCCATTCAGAGTTATGAGATACTAATTTGGGTGTAGACCATGTGTTTTTACATAGTGCTTAGTCTAGGGATTCTTAATTGGGAAGGCTACATGATGCTAAAAGGGAAGCACAGCTATATTAATTATAATCATACAATAGATCTGTGTTTGAACACAGCAAAATTGATAGACATAATATTGTGGGGTTTTTTTGTTTGTTTGTTTTTAATATCAAACTGATTGTTTATCTAATACTGAGGTGATACAAGTTTCTGGTAATTGGGAATGTGCTTTCCAGGACTCTGGGCTCACCATTGGGTAGGAGAAGGCAGCAATGCTGTGCTAGAAAAATCTTATTGTCTAGCTTTTAATTTATTAAAATACGTGGGTTTAAAGAAAATGAATAGGTCTTACTCGTCAGCCTTAGATGCTTTGGAAGCATCATGCAGCAGACTGCTAAATTTTGACAGTTGAAAGAGATCAGTAGTTTCAGGTGTTTGGCACACCAAGAAACTTAGCATTGTGGTCCTTCATGAGTTGCCCTTGGTCTTACCTCACTAGTTTGCAGTTAGTGTAATAAGGAGAAAAAAGTTTATTTTGGTGCTAACCAGGATGATTTGGACCATGGAATAATGTATCACTCTTTGTATATCTTTTCAGATGTTTTCAATGGAACTGTGACCTTTCTGCCTTTGGAGGAAAACAGTGAAGGAAAATACCAAATTAAAAAGTGCAATATTTATCAAATTCAACTTACACACATAAAAGATGAGGAATGGTAAGTGCTGAGAGAGAGACAGAGAGAGAGGAAGCAAACCCTGAGTTGTTGCAGGGATCAACACCACGTTGTAATATTCCTATCTGGGCAGTTTGGTTTATGTAATTTCCTGGTTGTTTAGTAAATAACAATAGCAATAAAGTTGTAGTGCATACTGTTCAGTTAAAAGAAACATCTAAACTACCCAAACAAACACACATCTGTTTCAGCTTTGAATGTGTCCATTGACTGCAGGTGGGTGTGACCCAGGAAAGTCTGTGTGTTCTGATCAGGAGGAACTGGCTGTGCCTGTGAGAGTGCTCAGGTTCTGTGGCTGTTCGTGAGGCTGAGGGTCGAACTGGAATTGCTGTGAGCCTACTGACTGTCAGTCATTGAAATTCAGACCATTGCAGCATGGTCCTGGGCATCTGAGGGGGTAGCTCTCATGAAATATGAGTAAAGTTAGAGATTATGCAATAATGAAATGTGCCAACTGATGTATTTTTCCTAATGTTTTAATGAATTCACTTTTACTAGTTAGTGTTTGGTTGCTAAATCAGGCTGTTCATCATGTGTGAATCCTTAGTCATTGTGTTAACTGCAGCAAGAATCTCCTGTACAGTGTTTGAATTAGCAGATAATGAGCTGTCTAACAAAATTCAGGGGAGGTTGTTCCATTATTTGGTAACTTCACTGTTTTTTCTGTTTTGTGTATTACATATTTCCTTATTTTCCAGTCTACTTTTATACCTCTGATCTGCTGATTTTCTGCACTTAATCCTTGTTTTCCCTCTCTTTGAGGTAGCTGAGATAATGAAATATGCTGCATTTATACAAAGGCTTTTTTTATTTATTTTTAAAGGTCTGTGTCTGTTGTAGCTCTGTTTCCAGAAGACTGGTTTTCAGATGGAATTGCATACCCCAAATTAGCATGGCTTGGAAATGAACTTTTGTCCAAACTGGCTAAATGGTCTGTGGAGCAAAAGCCCAGTGAGTTTAAAAGTACGCTCTCGCTCATTTCTGTAGCAAAATACAGCAAGGTTTATCAGGACCTCAAAGAAAAATACAAAGAGATGGTAAAGGTAAGTTTAGCAATACACACAGAAATAATATGCTTTCCCTTTTTTGTTGTTGTTTTAGTGACACTGCTTCTTTCCCCAATTTTTTTTTTTTTTTTTTTTTTTAAAATAAGCAATGTAATTGGCATGTATGTTTTATGGTCTCATGTTTTGGGGTGGGTTTTTTTTCTGTGTACGTGGGGAAAACAACAATTTAGTATTTGGAAGAACTGAACTGGAAAAACAAGATTTGGAGCCAAATTCACAGTAAATATCTGGAGGAGTTAGGGATTTTTCAGAATGTGTACCTTCTGATAAGAAGTAAGTAGTAGGTCAGTGGATGGAAATACCAAGTCATCAGCATTAGAAGGAATAAATAAATCACCTCTTTCTCCAAAACCCGAAAGAGTTGTAAACAGCACTGGTTAGCAAGCAGGTTAAAGTTCCAATTACTTCTCATAAATTTGGGTGGTATATTGACATGTGTTTGAGTTAGAGGAGCAACGTAAAGTTTCTTTGTCCTGGGGATCCCAAATAGCGACAATGTTATCACCTGAAGTGCTGTATGAAGTAATGCCTAGATCCTTGTACACCAGACTAGCTACAAGCAAAAAAATATGGTAATTGCTTTTAAAAACATGTTTTGAAAACATTAAAGGGTTCTACTGTTGTTATTTCTGTGCTAATACAAAGGTACATACGAGAGGAAAATTGGACCTGTGGGTAAGGTAATGGTTCAGTATTTAGCTCTGCAGTAGACCTAATGTAGTGTTGACTGTTTTAATCTTTTTTTCAATTCCTCCTTTACAAAAGAAGGGTAATACGTCCACTTCCAGCCTTCCTCCTTCAGATTTTCATTCTTTGTATTCTGTTGTGGCAGGATTATTCTATGCCTACTACATTGTGAGAATTTGTAAATTTATTTTCATGTTATCAATGTTGCCCATAACAAGAGTAACATCAGCATTTTTCTTCTGAGAGAATTAGGCAAAAGAGTGTATGCTTGTGCTGTATTACAGAGCAGATGCAGCAGTTTACTTGTGACCTGCACTTAGGGAACCATAATATCCTTGGAAGCGTCATTGACTGGATGACAGCTGACATTCTGTACGCCAGGATTCGTTTGTGTGACTCGTGAAGTCAGTCTTTATACATGTGCTTTGTGTAGATTTTTTAATGAGCTCAGAATGCAAAGTTCTTAAAATGCAGAAACTGTTGAAGTGGATAAGTATCCAGATTGCTATAAGCACTTTTTTATTTCAGATGGTGCAGAAATTTTTTTTTTTTCTGAAGGTCTGGCCTGAAGTGACAAATCCTGAGAAATTTGTGTATGAAGATGTTGCCATTGCCACTTACTTGCTGGTAGGGAACTGCTTTGCCTAATAATACTCTATAAGGTTCTATTTCTTAATAAAAGAACCTCTCAAAAGAAAATAATGTTTTTTTTTCATTTTATAGTTTGTTGCCTTTTTAAAAATAGTTCTTACAGGCATACAAGGCAAAAGGAGAAGGGATGTGGCTATTCTGGCTTTTAAGGGTGGTGTTCTTTTTGTCTGTTTATTTGGTTTTTGGTTGGTTTTTTTTGCTATTGCTCTCATTTAAGCAGAGAGACAATTTTTTTTGTATTACAGTGTTTTCAAGCATAACTTAAACACAAATTCTGCTTTCAGTTCATAACTTCAAATTGTGGTTTTATTCTGATTTCAGGGATTTACATATAATAAGTGGTTACAGAAGGTAGGTGTTTTATGACAGAATTGGAAAAAAAAAAAAAAAAAAAAAGAATAGACCAAAGGGAAGATTTGGTTTTTATACTACCTTATACTACAAAAATCAGCACAATAGCAATGAAAATTAAGTTTAGAGCAATGGTAAAACTTTGTGATGATGTGAGAAAGATCTACAGTCCGTTGTCACAGGAAGTGTATGACCTCTGCAGACAATATGTATTTTATGGGGTTTTGAAGTGATAAAGTGAAAAGCCCTGGTGGAGCAGAAAGATAGTGGCTGGATGGACCCGATTTAGAGATCAGAAGCTATTGTTTTATGCATACTTCTACCTTTTGTTAAATTTATGCTGAGAGATTTTCACTGATACACTTTTTCCATGTAAAAGTTCATCTCAAACCCCATCTTGAAATGCAGTAAGGCTAACTGTAGATGCATGATACATGCTTCGTGACCTTTTACATGGCATGTACCTACTTAATCTATGAAAATTTTGCCACCTGTGGTTAACAGAAAGTTCAGGTTTTTAAACATCAAAATTTGTCACTGCGTAGGCCCATAAATATATTTGACTGCTATCCAAAATGGGGTAAGAGCATGTCTGTCTTGAAGTCTAGATACCTCTAGTGCCTTCTCTAAATTGGTATCTGTAAGTAAGCTAGCTCATTTACAGAACTTGTTGAGGACGAATTTATTTTGATAACAGACTTAAACTTTAAACTTAGAACCCCAGTTTCTTTCAAAGAACATTTTGGGTTTTGTTTTCAGCTCTGTGACCAATTTTTTCTTCAATGCAGCGTATGTAAATGCTTCTATTGTGTTACTTGCAGAGACACTGTTGAAGTTTACTTGTTACTTGCCTTGTTTCCTCTGCTTATCTCTTGCACCCTTTGTTTTAGCAGCTTATTTTACATTTGTGCTCAGTCTAGTCCAGGGTTGTATAGCCTTGATTAATTTCAACTTTTAGTGGCTCAGAGAGGGTGGAGGATGTGCTTACCACTTAGAAAATTATTAATGTTTTGCAACATAATTTCTGCCCCTCTCCATAAACAGTTTCAGTGGGTTTTGGTGGTTTTATTTTTTACTTCCTCTTAAGTTTTCTCTCAGTACAGCAAAAGTCTTCTGTCACATCTGCATTTTTTCCCAGCTTTTTCCTTTCATTTCCAATAACCTTTGTTGGTTTCTTACGGAGAAACACAAGACCAGAAGTCTAACAAGTTTTCTTCTCTTGTCTTAGATTCTTTGGGAAGAAGAGAGAAAGGAGAAGGGTTTGACCAAGAAACAGTCATTTGTAGATCTTGGATGTGGAAATGGTCTACTGGTTCATATTCTAAACAATGAAGGGGTAAATAAGAGTTCTTTTTAAATAGTAATTTAAAAATAGAGTTAGAAAATATTCTTGTTGTGCTTTCCTTTTATCCTTCATGCACATAGCCCAAATTCAAATAATGCATGTTACTAAAAAAGGATTTTGTCACTCTAGTTACCAGGAGAAAATTGTAGCACAGCTTTAGGAAACCTTTCTCTTACTTACCTTCTTTCTTAGTACAATTCATTTCAGGGCTGTTTTTCTAAGGTAAGAAGCTAAGAGGTAAATGAAAAAGTAATAGTGTTATTCTGCAGACTAAGCAAAAAGAATCAGAAATCTTAACATACAGAGGTTCTCTCTCGTAAGATGCTTTTCATGAATTCATTTTTGTCAAAATTGAATTCTACTTGTCATGTACTGAAAATCTTTTTCTATATCTTTAAAAACAGTCCAGGGATTTGTTAATTGTCAAAATGCCTAACAACATACTGTGCTTTTGGGAGTGAAATTTTGGCAACAGCAAAATTTAATTTCGTGAGGCATGCTTTCTGAAATAACAGAAAAAAAGGTCAGTGAGATTGAACAAAACCCAGTGAGGTTTGGTCTCTCTGTTTCAGAAAAATGTATATTCCACTTTTTGGAGAACATGGTAAAATTTGTGGAGGAAATTATCTCCTATTTCATCAACACCCATCATTGATGGGGAAAAAAGTCCCAAGATAACCTAACACAAGCTCTCTATCCTTGTGTGGCCAGAAAAAAAAATGATGTAATACAAGATGCTATATTTGCAGTAGGAAAATATGTTAAAGAAACAGGGAAAACACCATTAAGTCATGACTGCTGTAACACTGACAAACATTGACTGTCAGTGCTGACACACGTGTGTGAGTTTTATGAAACTCCTTTAGTAATTGGTTTTGGTTAGCTCTGCATTCATTATTTCCTGCTGTAGTTTCCAGTTCTACTTCTTCCCATCAATTCACAGAGGGGAAAAAGAGTAGGTGAAAGGGCGTTCTCCAGCGAGGACTCCTTAGAATATCAATCTTCTCTGAGCCCTGTGGGTTATGATATTGTGATTAAACCTTATGAGAGGTGAAACCATGTTATGATACTATGATTAAACCCTATGAGAGGCTTTGATATTTTAAAAAACAAACAGAACACAAATACTTCTGCTTTTACTTTTGTAGAGATCCATATTTTCAATAGTATTCTCAGTAGGTGTGCCTAGGTAAAATTTCAAACCAGATAGGCTCTTAATATTTCTTAATATTTCCCTTTGTAAGTAGAAGGGAAGGAAAGTATTTAGAAGGCATGAAATGGTGAAGCTGTGTTTCCTTATATGTATAAATCTTATTATGAACAGAATAATAAATGTTAATTTAGTATGTACATTTGGTGAGTCTGTTTGACAGTCTTCACTAAAAATAGTACTTAAAAATTATACTTTTTCACATATTACAGCATTCAGGTAGAGGAATTGATGTGAGGAGAAGAAAAATATGGGACATGTATGGACCAGAAACTCATTTAGAGGTATTATGCAAATGTACGTCCATCTTACTGTTTTGTAACCTTAGTCATTTGTTCATTGCTTCAGGTTGTCTTGATGCATATGCAGTCAGACATACTGGCTTACAGACACTTGTCTCTGGTGGTCTGTGGGTTTCCATACGTCTTCTGGGACTGTAAAGTAAGTTGTAAAGGGAGCTACAAGAGCAATGCTGTATCCTACTCCTGCTTGCAACTTATTTTTCAGCTCAGAAGACTAGGGTGATTGCATGTCTCCATGTACAGGGATACAGACCACGATACAATCTTTGATTTTACTGGAGATCAGTATTAAGAAGCTTTGTTTGCACCCCTCTACCTCATAAAAGATATTGGTATCCAAAATTCTGAGTAGTTTATTCTTGAAAGCAATTCTGACTGCCTAGTGCTATGTGCTGTTTTGGGGACAAAATGGTTGTTGAACTTCAAAGGAGTCAACCGTCTGTTTTATGGATCTTGTAAATAATGGCAATAGTAGCTTTCAAAAAGAAAAAAAGAACAAAAAAATTAGTCTGAAAGAGGGGTTATATTTTAAGTTCCACATTAGCATTTTTATAAGAACAGGAACAATTTGAGAACACAAACATTGACTTCAACTGCAGCTGTTCTTGGTCTCATACTTATTAGTGTGTACTGATGAACAGCTGCCCTTTTATAGAGGTGAGGTGTTCATGGTTTCTTCTCTCTAGACTCCTAAAATTTCTTACTGTTCTCTCAAAAACAGTCAGCTTCTAATATAAGAATTTTCCACCTGTAATTTTTTTTGTGCTTAAGTTTTGCTTAAAAGTTAGTTCAACATTTCTTTGTATGTTAACCACTTATGTTAAGTCCACAAAAGAGCAGCAGTTTTCACAGATGGGAGGTGGAGCTTTCACAGTCTTGTTCAGCCTTTTCTTTGCCACCCTGTCATTTTGGGTACAGATTGCCAAAACTGCCAGATTCCTTTGCTACAGTCTGCAACCCATCTAAAACATTGAGCTTGTGGTGCACCTTTGTTCTTGTTGTGCTGTATTGTCACTTCTAATCACACCAAACAGCATCTTCTCTTCTTAATGTTATGAGTTCCCTTTTTCTGCCCGTGTTTCTGTACTGTGGAAATCTCTGCATTTTCTACATTGGTTTCATATTTAGGTCTGGCTGTTTACAGTTTCTCAGATTTGACTTTTAGGGAAACTTCTGAGAATCAGCTGTCCCTTTCTGTAGCACGAGGGAGCAAAACAGAAAAGGGGGTGTTTTATTTGTCTTTTTTAAAAGGAAAAAAATAACCAAAAGAAGAATTCACAAAGGACACTTGAAAAAGCCAGACAGAAACAATAAAAAATATCCAAAATATGCATATAGGGAAAGTACTTGTCTGTATATGTATATCTATATATTGAAAAATGAATAAGAAGGATGAAATAATTTTACACAGAAGGAGAAAGCACCTGCTCACAGCCTTTGTTGTCCTCAAAGCTAATTTTGTTTTGATGTTTACTTGAAATGTGAGTTGCAGGATGAATATTGCCATCTGTGACATTCAGTGCCAATACTAATAATGTAAGTGAATGTAACAGGCCAAGCTGCTGTCAGACATGGGGAATCCAAATCTGATGCTGGGTAACTGTCAAAATGTGGAGCGTGGCACTGATAATTCCTGTTGTGCCTAAACTGAACGTTCAAAACTGAAATGTAACATAGAGTAACTTGTTTAATCAATCATCAGAAACACTTAGTAACATCTACCTTGCAAAAAAGAAATTGTTACATATATTATCTAGAAATATATACACAGTTACAAATGATCAGAGATGTACTATTTAAAGTGAATGGTAATCCACCATGCTGATTAAGTGCTTCCTCAAGAGCAGAACTGAGATGTAACAGAGGTAGCCTGAGACTTCTGAAATGACCTAGTAAGTGGTGTGGTTGTTTTCATTCCTGTAAAGGTACTACTTTGCATATGCATACAAATTTTGAAGTATGCATTTTGTATATTAAAAAAAAAAAAGGGTATGGGCAACATTTTCAGGGCTTTTCCTGAAGGTTTGTGGAGATTCAAATTTTGGAATTTTTTTTCCAAATCTGCCCAGTAACTATTTTGAGATTCCTACATATTTTCAGAGAAGAGTATGTACTTCTGTAGTATCAACATGAAGTTTATTTTTGCTGAACTTTTTTCAAGGTAAGAAAACGTGTATAGGAGACACTCTTACACGTGGCTTACATACGTGTGTGTATACAGGCACTATAGAACTTCTAAACTGTATGAAGATACCATCCTGTTTGGTGGTTGGATTTTTGTTTTTCTGAAAGAATATCAGGGTAGGCTATTCCTCAGACAAGTGACTGTTCTGTGAGTCAGTGTTGCAGTGGGAAGACTTCTGTGCTGATGTCTCAATCCATATATATCAAATTTCCATGAGACAAATACTATTCTAGAGGGCACCAAAGAAGCCTTGTTTCTCTGACCTGTTTTCTATTTTTGCTCTTGATTTTGCATGAATCATAACATAGTCTTGGCACGACTTGGAAGGGGATGGAACGGCAACATAGGCAAGAGGGAAGAGTGTTAGGCTGGATTAGTTTATTATATGTGAATGATAGGGTGTGAGGAGTGGTGTCCTGTATGTTGGGATTTGATTTGGTAAGATTCTGTAAAATAAAAGATAGTAGTGATGCTGTGCTGTGATTAGTTGCTGTTAGTTAGACATTAGTTGTTATTAGACAGAAGGTGAATGGCAAGAAGTCATAATCCAGTATGCGGTATTTGTAAACAATGTTTAGGATGCCAGACATCTTAATCAGAATTATTATTCCACTCTTTTTCTGGCCAATATTTTGTCGTAGCTGTTGCTAAATTACTTCTTTGCAGCTATAAATAAATTATTACATGGCAAAAGTGCAGATTAAAGAAAACGTTGGTGTCTGTGGTTCTCATTCACCTTGTATTTGTCAGCTTCTACAATTTATATTGTTGCTTACACTTTATTAACAAAATAAATGCATTTAAAGAAAGTTGTAATAACTCACTTAATGTGCTGCGTGTTTTTTAGGAATCTACAATCATGCCAGGTGACAATCATCTCTTCCCAGACACTGACTGGCTGATAGGAAACCATTCAGATGAATTAACACCATGGATACCTGTAATTGCAGCTAGGTATTTGTTGGGGCAGAGAAGGAATTAAAAACAAAACAACACTCAGAACTAGATTACCTATGTGGGCTGGGTGAAAACTCTCACTTGTGCAGCCACACCTGCTGTCCTTGAAGGACTTGCTGCTTTTGATGGCAATTGATCATTTTTACAAAATGTTTCTCTTCCTGTGGTGAAGCACAGCTGTAGTATTTACTGTCTCTTAGAATTTAGTACAGCATTTGCTTTTGAAGCTCAAAAACCAGAACTGATTTTTATTCTTTAGATGTGAATCTGTTGTTTGGGCTTTGTTTTGTTGTTGTGTTGTTTTGGTTTGTTTTGTTTTTTTTAAATAAAAAAGTTATTGCTTCTGCCTTTCCTTGAACTATTGTGCTTCGCAACCAGCTGCAATAGTTTAATATGTACAGGTTAAGACCTGCAAACCAAGTTTGTAATTTGCTATAGCAAATAGTTCATGGAACAGTATTTTTGATTATTTAATTGATCTACTGAAAGAGGAAAACCAAAATATTTTGTGAAGCTCTGTCACATAGTAATTTTCATTGTTGCTTGCATCTGATGGGTTAATTGTTACATTTGTGTGTTCTCCTAAGTAACTTTCGATTCAGCAGCTTGTTACATTTCTTGTAGGTCTTCCTATTCATGCTGCTACTTTGTGCTGCCGTGTTGCTTCTTTGATTTCCATGGAAAATACAATCGAAGACAAAGCAAGAAAACTCAGTACAGAGAATATCTTGATTTTGTTGCCCAGGTGGGATTTGTATGCGGCTTTCAAGTGGAAGAAGATTGCCTGCGAATTCCATCAACAAAAAGGGTGACTTGGGGCTTTTGTCTCTTTTCTTTTCCTTAAGGCTGCTAGCTGTCTGCAGCATACGGATGTTTGTTCATGGCATTGTTCGTTCATTATTATTGTAAAATCAGACTGTAGTCAGTTGTATGGCTTCAGACAATATACTCTGAAGAGTATCTAAAATTACTCTTTGTTTTCTTGGGTATTCTGCTCTTTACATCAAAGGTACAATCCTAAAGAAGAAAAGGAATGGGAAGTTTTATAGTTTGTTTTTTTTTATGCCCCCATATAGGATGGAAAATTTCTTTATGTAAAACTCATTTTTTGCCTTTAATTTTCCCAGCTGCCAGTGTCTTAGTTGTATTTCATTTTGTTGTTTTTCATATCCCATGAAATTTCAAGTGAAATGTTCTCGCAGTAGGAAAAGATGTCCAGCTTTAATTTTTTAAATAATCTGGGGATCAGGAACAGTCTTTTTGCTCTGCACTTGTGTGGTGTGATGGATTATAGTTTGATTAGTGCATATCTTCTGTGACACCAATATTCAAAAGCTAAAATTAAAAAACTTTTAGATGTTAATGAGCATTGAGTTTGAATGGATATCTCCTGTATGTTGGAAGCTTAAATAAGACGTGTAGGCTGGGGGGCTGTGTAGAAGTATGGGACTCTAAATAGTGATATACCTATTTCTACTAAAATAGGTAAGCCTCATTGGAAGAAATAGGACCTACCCACCTACCGAAGGTGCTCTGATTGACAAGCAGATAACACAGTTTATTAACAGTCGTCAGACCTGTGCTATGGTCACATGGGACAGAAGAGTTGGATTTAATCACGTGGTTCAGTCGGATGGTGTTTGCCAAGGAGCAGGCTCAGAGCGTTGTGACAGTGAGGCTGAGACTGATGGCACAGTTTGGATGCCTGGATTCCAACCCCGAGGAAGAGTAGAGCAAGTCAGAAACTGTGCTTCCCTCCCCCGGGATTTTGTGGATGATGTGGTTCTCAGTGTGGCAAACTTGCTGCTAAATGCAGCCCCCCAGAAATCATGTTCTGATACGCATGGGGGAAATGTGGATACTTGGAATCGAGGAGGTGAGATGAGGTCTTCCCCTTATGTTGCCTTTTGCTTTTGCTGGAATAGAATGCCTTTTCCTGTAATTGACATGTTTGCACACTAGGATGCAAGCAAGGCAATAAGAATTTTTGAGATTGGTGTGGAGTGTTTTCCTTTTGCTTTTAAATACTAGGACAGGTTCAATTTTTATTAAAAAACTAAAACAAAAACAAAGTAAACCAAGAACTCTCCCCATTTACTAAACCAGAACACTGTATCTTTTTGGGGAGAATATTAAGTATGTTTGGCTAGTTCTCACTACTGCCATCTTTTTCCATTATCTTCCATTAATTTTTATTATTTACTCACTGTAGGTTGTCATGTATTACAGGAGATCCTTTGAGTCATTCTCTCTAACTACATGTATGTGAACAGTGCTTAGTGCAATGAGGGTTATATGCTACTGTAAAAAAAGTGGGGGAAGTAAAAAGTTTCTCTTACTTTGGAAATTCTGACTTGAATCTTGTAGAATGGAAGCTGCTATGTTATAATATACATACAAAATATATCTCATGGATGATACTGGGAGTACAAAGTTGCTGCAGTACTGATAGATACTGATTGTGAGCAGAATCTATGAATTAACTTATATAGAAAATAAATTTTCTTGGGTATATGTCCACATTTTTTTATAGCTATACCATTATTTATTGCAGAAAGCCTTTCCTTGAAAGAAGTAGCAGAACACTTAAATAAAGAAACTTTAAAAAGGTTAAAGAGTGAATATGGAGGCCTGCAGACGCTACTCAAGAACAATCATCAAGTATTTGAAGGTAGAGAAGGGGCTTGGGGGTTTGTTTTGTTTTTCTTTAGTCATCTGTTTTATCTCCTATATGTACAGTGCAGCTCAACTGAAAAATTACTATGGTGGTGGGATTTTTTTAACTGCTTCTTATACCTCCGTGGAAAACTTGAACATTCTTCGTGTGCCCATTGCTCCAAGATACTGATAGTAAAACTTTTGGATGAGACTGAAAAACATCTATCAGGAAATTATTTTTTTTTCTAGACCAACTGTATTTGAAAAGACAACCCTTTAGTTCAAGTGGCTAATTTGATGATATTGTTTTAACTTGGAGAATTCTTCTTTTTCCTACAAAGTATTGATGATTTGGAGGCCATCGAATGCAGAGCAAGTTCACTAAAGCGCTTAACTGAGACTTGGTCTGGCCTCACTGAGCCCCACAGTGTAAATGCTGACACAAAATAAAACTAGTCTGCCTCAGAACCTGGAACTGGAAGACTTGATGTGCTAATACAGCCTGTGGCAGTATGGCAGAAAGAATGCAGTAGCAAGTCTCTGTGGCTGGCTGTGTTTGTTGACAGCTGTTTTGTGGTTTTATTCTTGTTGTAATGTGGTGGTGTCTTGTGTTTGGGGTGGTTTTGGGTTCGTTTGTGGTGGTTTTTTTTTTGTTTGTTTTTGTTTTTTTGTCAGTGTGGAGCTTTGCAAAAGTAAGATCTAGCTTTGCAACAATACAAGATCTTCAAGGTTTTATCAGTGTTAAGGCTGCTTGAGATTTGGAAATGTGTTAACTTTGTGTCCCAGCAGTTCTACATCAGCTGGGAGATGCAGATCAATTAATCCATAGCAAATAATCTCGAGTATGCAACCTAGTTGCTGCCAGTGGTTAACTTAGACAGTTTTAGCATCCATTAAATATTTCTGTACACTTGGCAATTTTAAAATGTGAAGCCATACTGAAATCCTTTTGGATTACCATTCAGTGCAAAGAATTGTTCACACTGTATTCATTATGTGTCTGAGTTTGATCCCCTTTCATTACAGAGGGGTGGAAAAGATTTACAAACTTGTACACAGCATGAGCATTTTAATTTGGCATGGATGCAGTCTGCACATTACCTCTGAGGAAAGACTAGGACTGAGGCCAGATCTTTCTCAGTAATTTACATCACATGGTACCTCCCTGGGGCTCCAGTAGACACCGTTTGATTCTTTCCTTCAGTAGCATGTCACTCTAGCAAGGCACTTTTAGCAGTGAGTGGTCTGGAAGGACACTGCTTATGACAAAGAGGACACAGAATAACATGACTGCAGTTCTTTTGTCATCTTTGTTGAAGTGTTTTTCTTTTAAAGACAAAGAAAAGAGATGGATGCACACACACACAAAAAAAAGAAGGGGCTTAGAGTAACTGATCTGTGGCAGTTTCTTTTGGTCAGGCGTCGTTGTCTTTTGAGGTATTTTAAAGCTCTGTTGAACCCACTTCTGGACTGGCTTTTAAGAGTACGGATCTGTGTGTATCACAAGGAAATGTGGAGGGATGAATTCATCCAGGCCTGAATGTGTGATATCAAGCTTTCACAGGACCCATTAGCTTTTGCATCAGAATTACCAGAATGCGGAATGGTATCAGTTAATTATGCCAAGCTACAAGTGTGTGATTGAAGTGGACTCTGAAAATAGAGCACAGCAACTCAGAAGTGGCAGATCCCTCCCTCCTCACTTTCACCATTGATTTTCATGTACTTTTTTTCTTTCTTGTTTACGAATTTCCTTTGGTTGTGTTTTAATTACACATTTAAGCTGACAGAGGTTCATAGATATGTGTATGCAGTTTATAGTCCTAATACAGCAAATGAATTTAAAAACAGAAAAGTGCTGAATATTTATTTACCAATGATAATTCACTGATTCATATGACAGATTAGACTTGTCATCTTCTTTGGTACAGCATATTTTTGGGTCAGTGAACCATTCTCTCTACAAAAGCATTTCTGTGTAGAGAAAGTAGTAAAGGCTCTCACTAGATTTTTGCTGGTAACCACATTTTAAATATGTAGTAGTAAAGTTTTGAACACAGGAAGGATTACAGTTCTTGGAACTTCCTCAGCACTTGCAATCTAAGTTCAGAGGATTTTAGTCTAAATTATCCTAACTGCTATATTTAAAACAAACCTGTACAAAGATGATACAAAGGTTCCTCAAACTTCAGAATCTCAGTGAAATACCTCATAGGGAAATCAATCATTTCTTCTTTAGACTGTGTCTGTATTATCCAGGTTTGTTGTGCCATTTGTACAGAAATGGAATGAAGTGCACATTTGGTTTTGCCTGAGTGATCCATTTGTAGAATATATTTTTATTCACAGAATGTCACTATGCATTTTTTCCAGTATAAGTCCCATGGATGTCTATTAACAGCTGCATCTTTGTTTGTTTTTAAATTTCAGTTCTAAATGGGAGAGTTCATATTCGTGACTGGAGAAAAGAAAAGCCATCAAGGACAACGAAGCCCGAAGTGAAACGACGCCTCTCAGATGAAGCGTTTAAAACACGTCTCTGCTGGTTTTTCATTCACCATCCTGATGGTTGTTCTTTGCCTTCTGAATCTTGCCCATATGCTCATGGGACTGAGGAGCTAAGGCAGTCTCAGATTATTAAAAAGAAAAAACATTTACAGTAATAAAGTGCTGCCACTTACCTATAAGCATATGTACTTAACTGAATCTGTGATTGACTTTGGGACCACCTACTGCATGAAGAGCCGGACAATATGGAGGGTTTTTTCCATTCCTTTGCTCCTTATTTTTCCAGTTGGTTGACAAGTTCTGTATTTTTATTCTTCATTTTTTTTATTAACATGGAAAAGTAGTAAAATATGTCTATACTTTTGGATTTGTCCTGGCTTGTCTATATACATTTGCATAAGTAGAAAAATCTAAAAACTTAATTTCCTAGGGCACTTCATGATCCTCAATCAGATGAAATGGATGTGATGCAGCATTTTCAGACCCTGAAAATTAGCTGGTTTGTTCCAAATATTCCAGAAGGATTAATAGTTTCTTATGACTCACAGTGGCTCTTGGGACTCAGAAATTGGAGAGAGTTCACTCTTTCTTTTGCAGCTTCTCCTCCCTGGTACTGTGGAGCAATAATACATATCACTTTTCCTGTCTTGGTCAGATCTTAGTCCTCCTTCCCTTTCTGTTCATCTTGATTCAAAATGAGTGTTGGTTTGAAGAACAGCTTTCTGGAAATTACTGTTGAAATCTTCACATATAGGTTTTCAGAGCTCTGTAGGTCATACTGTCACCTTTCTTTTTTCAAATAAGGAGTAATGGTGGAAAATGTATTTTATTATATTGGAATGCTAGAGTTTCTTATCAGGTAACAAAGGAGTGTCTTACCACCTTGAGCAGGTTATGATTTTTTTTTTTTTAGTAGACTGCTATTTTCTTTAAAATGTTTAACTTTTAAACATGCCTCCAAAGCAAGGCAGTGAAGCTGGTAAAGGGTCTAGATGACAAGTCTTTTGAGGAGCAGCTGAGGGAACTGGGGTTGTTTAGCCTGGAGAGAAGGAGGCTCAGGGGAGACCTTGCTCTCTACGACTACCTGAAAGGAGGTTGTAGAGAGGTGGGTGCTACTCTCTTCTCCCAAGTAACAAGCAATAGGATGAGAGGAGATGGCCTCAAGTTGCACCATGTGAGGTTCAGGTTGGATGTTAGGAAAATTTTCTTCACCAAAAGGGTTGTCAAGCACAGAAACAGGCTTCCCAGGAAATTGGTGGAGTCACCATCCTTGGAAGTATTTAATAGATGTGGAGGTATGTTGCTTAGGGACATGGTTTAATGGTGACTTAGCAGTACTGTGTTAACAGTTGGACTTGTTGATCTTAAGGGTCTTTTCCAACCAAAACCATTCTATGAACTTGGCAGAAATCCTAATTATTACTCAGTGACAGTCACTAGTAGTAGTTCTAAAGTTCAGTATTTGCTGTACAAGCTCTGAGATACAGAATTGTGTTGGTTCTGGCCTAGCTCGTATACCGATAGTGTGGAAACTCTTCTCATCTATTGAGACAAGACTTTGATTCCAGATCCTAATGAAGTAAGGACAAGATTTAACAACAACAATGACAAAAAAAGTACTAAAGAAATGTGGAGGTGAAAGCACTGACATAGGGACTGGTTGCAGGACAGAGAGGTCTAAGTTCAAGTATGAATAAGCCATATAAGAATTTGTTAAGAGCCCAGGGAATCTGAAGAACAGAGGAAGGAAATAACTGAAGAGAAAACACAGAAAAAATGGAAGATGACACTGGAAACACTTCTAGAAGAGTTCCAAAGCTGCTTTTCTCACACCCTGACTTTAAGCCAACAGGTTGCAGTCTACTGCATGCAGAAGCAGGGTCTAAACCTATTGACAGGGCTGGAGCAAAGAACTTACTGAAGTGTTGTATGTACTCACCTCTCCCTTTTACATTTCTCTTCTGATCCTGGAAGATGTGGCTGTTTCTAGATAACAGTGACTCTGATAACTGCAGCAGTGCCTTACTCATGGATCTCTTCCCACAGTATCCATTATGCCACACAGTACAGCTACTTGGCCTACCTCTACCAGGAGCTGTGGTGGGCTCTGGGCCTTCCTCCATGGCTCTGGTCTGCAGTGTTGTGTACCACATCTCAAATTCAGCACTGACCAGGCCTATGTTACAGTCATTACTGGATGTACGCATTTCAAAAAACAGAGATACCCTCAGGTGAATCACATTCTAAGGGGCAAGTTGGGTGTAGATCAAATAAGGTGATTAAGTTCATGCAACCTGCAGATGGAGGTTGTTTCCAGATGCTGCAAAGAGCAAAACCAGCCTTTCAATTCTTTTCCAGTTGTTGATGTCTTTGAATAATTCACCTTGGGGTGAGATGTGTTTAACTTGAAGCAGGTGAATTCCTGGGTTGGAGTTCACCTGTGGAGCCCCTCTGGAGCTTGCAGGAACTTGGTCGGGGTGAAGCAGTTTGAAGAGGCTTCTCTTGGTTTGTGATTGTTTTTCTCCTTTTCAATAAATGGGGAGTGAAATAGCAATTTGACTCATTAAAGTCAGAAACACACACACGATAGACTAGTGAATTAGTTTTAAAACTACCTTTTTTATTACTTGTGCAATGCTATGATAGCTAGTGTAGCACGCTGCCTCCTTTTGCGTAGACTTCTTGACCTCGCCAGCATACAGACCTGTCACAGATGCATGATGGCTCTTCCCCTTCCTGTTTGGCATCACTGCAGGGGACAAGCCAGCCAGCAAGTCTCCTGTAATTGCAGAAACTTCCCTGTTGTTCGGAGAAGTGGTAAGAGAACATTTTTGCATCCAAATGCCAGCCTTATATAATTCTGCATTTAAATGTGAAGGTAACTGCTGAAGGCATAAAATAGCTCTACTTTATCTAAATTCTGTATCTTGTTGGGTTCTCTGCGATCCACGGTCTTAAAATGGCATCAATACAATGTTCAGCTTTGGCCATGGATGAGGTATTGTACAGAGGAAGAATCAGTTTTGTTCTTGATAAAAAAAATCTCTTGCTCCACAATGGATTCAAGCATAAAAACTCAGTTGTACAGGTGAGACTGGCATTTTACTCCTTACTTTATTAGCATTGATACCCATTAGTTAATTTGGCTTTATTTCAAAGCCTGTTTTACAGAAGGAAAATACTTAGTTGTAAATGCCTCAGAAGAGTGAGAATATAAAGAGAAGTTAGATGTCAGGCTGTGACCAGAAATGCTGGGAGCTAGACATTTTGTGTTTCCATCTGTAGATGAGCTACAGTTTCTCTATAGAAATATTCTAAAATAAGAACACCAACGAAAATGTGTTTACATTCTCTCTTAAACCTCAGTGAAGGACTGAATTTTAGGTTTTGATCAGATTCCTAAAACAAACAAAAAAAAACCAAAAAAAACCCCAAACAAACAAACAAAAAAAAAACAAAACAAAAAACTTTTTACTTACAGAGTATCTCTATATATTCTTTTTAGTTTTTTTTTGTTTGTTTGTTTTAAATAAAATTAGGCTACTCCTGGGTTTTGGGGCTTGTTCATTCAGACTCAAAGTTTTAAATGATAATTTACTCTTCAGCTTTGGTTATCCTAGCATGTTTTTTTGAGCAGAAATCTTGCGTTAGATATAAAAAGGAAGGCAAGAGTGAGCTTTGCTTACTAGGGCATCATAATGGCAAATATTTCAGATTCAACAGAGATGAAATATAAAATCTGTAACAGTCCTACCAAGTGACAGCTAAAACAAATATTGAGACAGGTGTCCACTAAAGCATCTAAATATTTGGCATCAACTGATGTCAGAGACAGGCTTTTTATTGCTGATAGCTTCTGTTTATATAACTGAAAGAGTATTTTCATACAAAAATGGCAATTAATGGGGAATTCACCAAGGGTGTAGTGCTGACATGTTACCCCAAGGAATACCTTTCCCAGTTACCACTTTCTGCTGTTGCATTGTGCTGGACCTGTGAGTAGCATATTAAGATTTTCCTCCAGGGTGATAGTGGATTTCATCTTGCAGGATCCTGTGGTAACAGCAGCACTGTGTATACGTGGCAGTGTTTTTGTGACTGGGCTCTGTGTGTTGTGAATAGTTTTTAGTGAACACTGTTATTTGGACCTGATGAGTTTATATTTTTCACTTGTATCATAATTTAACATTTGCATTTATCAGGTAGAAATCCGTAACTGCTTTAGTGCTCATTTACTGTCTTCTTCAGCTGGCCAGGCACTGTGCAAAGTCAAAACAATCTTCTCCTGGAAAGCTTGCCCTGGATTTTGAATACTTTGGTAATTGTTTTGCTGTAGTAGCAATAAGGAAACTATCATCACTGCTTATTGATACTCTGAGTGGGGTATATGCAGAGATACAAAAGTTGAGAAATTAATCTCATTGCTTTGGATTGTAGGCTTTGTGTTAGTAGTTTTTAATCCCCGTGATAAACATGGAGCTGAGTGAGGAAGCGAACATCATTTGCCCTTTTCTCAAGTACAAGATATTGAGATAATGTAGTTCTCAGGTTGCCTATATTTTGCCAGTGCAACATGTTTTTTTCGTTTTCTTTGAATGTGTACCTTTCCCAGGGCAATGCTTTCACATTGCAGCCCTGTGGTGTCTTCGCTGGCTTTCAGTACATCATGAAGAAATCCCTCCAGTACAGACATTGCTATCCTTATCTCTGTTAAACTGTGGAACAGTATAGACATCATCATTTTGGTCCCTTTTTTTTAATTTAATGTTTGTTTTGCCAGATTGTTTCAGAGACTTTGAACCCTGTAGTGAACACCTCACCTGTTAGCAATGATCTCATAATGCTGTGAAGAGACATACTGACTTCAGCCCAGCAGTCATATTCTTTCTTGTATTTGGAATCTAAGCAGATAGGGAGTGTTTTTAAGTGAGAGAAGTCATCTTTTTTGGAAAGCATTAATGATCATGTATTTTTGCCCTTTCAGTGTTGTTTTACTGTGACATCTCATCATAGGTGCTGATCTCACCTTTAACAGTACAAAAATGTAAAGAAACTTCATTAATGGCTTGTGGAAGTACCTTGGTGAGAGGGCAGAATCACTTAAAATGGATTATTTTCATATTACAGAATATATTGGTGCTGTGCTGCTTTCCAG